CTGGTTATAAAGCCTACACCTTTAGCAACGGAGGAGGAGGATCAACCATATTCCAAATACCTAGTAAAATATTCATAGATATGATTACAGTTCCTGATTATCCCCAGGAGTTGTGAAAGTTTTTCGAATATGGCGTTGAATAACACATTTCTTAAAGTTGTAAAAGCCACTTTATTAATAGATAGTGTTTTAGATGAAATTTTCTGGGGCTAGCACAGATACCACCCGCACACCTCCGTATGCGCGTTATGCCCAAAAGCTTTTCAGTCCTTTCTTTCATCTTCATGTCTAAGAATATGTGTACAAAAATTGAGTTCAGCCGCTTAGTCAGAAATGGGAATACAGACGGAACCGACAGACAGACCGACATCATTGAGATTTTGTTTGATTCGGATTTCTGGTGTATTTCCGTCAAAAAAGTAGAGGTAGTTTTTTTTATCCCAATGCAATACGTCCCTCACTAACGTGCGGGTGGTAATAAACCTTCATAAGTATCGTACTTGTAGCCTGAGCGTACGCGCTTGCTTTGACATGAGCTAACCGATTTGTCTGTTTAATGTCGACAAACTGTAGCCCTTAGTTAACTGTTTCCGAAAACGGAATTCAAAAATTCGCCCATGTTTCCGAATTATGGCGCGGTAAAAAGGACGGACACAAACGATACGAAACCTACAGTATACACTGTGTCCAAGATAAAAATGTTTATCATGGGGATCTACGAAACTATAGAAGGTATGACGATTGTCAATTTGAGGAAAAGTTGCACAAACCAGGTATTTATCATGCTTTAAAGAAAACCAGAAAATTCCTATTACTTCCGGTTCCAAAGATATGCCGGACAAACCCAAATTTCCCGATTTCGTTTTCATTTTTTTCTGATGTTATTTGAGCAGATACAAACAAGTACCTATAAATTGTGCACAACTCTTGTGCAGATAAAGCGCATTTTTTTAAAACCGAAATAGTTTTTGTTAACACTGGCAATGACAAAGTGTTTGTTATTTTTTTGTATCTATTCAAATGCCATCAGAAAAAAATAAAAACGAAATCGGGAAATTTCTGTTTTTCTGACATCGGAATTTTTTGGTTTTCTTTAAAGTATGGTGGTTAATTGCACAACTTTTCCTTAATTAGACTATCTTCATACCTTCTATGGTTTGAATGGTTTCGGAAATCCCCATGATAGAGATAGACATCCTTATCATGGACACAGTGTAGTACATGCTCATCTCCGTTACGGATCAACTATCTTGCGTTACCCAATTCGAGATTATGGAATTCAGAACGTAAGGTATGAGTCTAGGTATGAGTTGTTCCGTATAGAGCATTACATTTTTTTAATAAGAAGGTTTATTATCTGACATTAAAACACAATAATGATTATAAAATGTTTGAGTTTTCGTACCCTTTTTGTATGAATAATATTTCAGCACAGTTTTGAAGCAAAATTTGGAATTCTGATTAGAGTTTCGGGTCGATATGCAGAAGTTTTGCTCTAAAATGTATATTTATTAAGTAAACCATAAATCATAATAAATATAGAAAGCCCGTATTTCAGATCATTTGGCGAAATTTTTTTTCATAGATTTGAATGGGAAATATTTTAACCAGTTTTAAGAAAAATTACAACTATCAAGTTCACACGAAAGGAGATTAAAAGTCTGCGAACATAAATAATCAAATGTGTATACAGAATTTATTGTAATCTTATACTGGATGACATCATCGCATACCCGCGCTCATGAACAATAGCTTCATTGTCCTGTGTACCTTGCTGTAAAAGAGCGGTAGTTTATTTATCATTCATGTTGCAGATTTCTGTACAGTACTAGCGTTGAGTAGCGTAATCATTTCGAGAAAAGAATCTGTATTTTTTTACCAACAATCTTTAGTGGATGGTAATATTGACACGCGCGCGACATCTATAACTCTTAAATAAGCGGTTTCCAAAACGTACATGGAGGTTGTCTCACTATTCTATTCTTTACACTAAGGTAGCATGTAATAGTACTTTGTGTACCAAAGCGGGAAAGTGGTTGTTTTCCGAGGCGAAGGAAGATATGGCCAGGCGAGGCGAAGCCGAGGCTGGCCACTTTCTGAGGCCCGGAAAACAACTTTCGTGCCGTGCTGCACACAATATTTTTTATCCTATACACTTACATTTAAAATTAATCCCTCAACAACGTCCGACCGCAAGCGCTTGAATTTGGATTTGCTTTAACGCGTCAACGTGCACGCGTTTGTTTTGTTTATTTCCACGTTTCCTGCCTACTACGCGAAAAAAATTTTACGAAACGGTGAAATCTAAGTGGGCCCACGAGTATATCTTTACTCGTAGATTTACCCCTTTCCCTTATAATACAGTTCAGCGCAAATTCAAATTCTAGCGCGCTTGCGATTGCACAGTGGTGCGTCACCGAAGGGAGTCACGGTGCAACAGAGCAGAGGTGCAAGTGGAGAATACCGATCATGTGCGAACTGAGTTGACATTTCCGGCATTTCACTGGCGCGTGATTATT